GGTAAAGTAACAGTCTTTTGTTTATGAGAACCAGGGAGTGCCTTGTCCGAGATGTTTTCTTTGATTACAGTTCTGCACTGGGACTGGGGTTCTTTTATCTGTTGTTTTGGTAGCCGTTTTTCCTCCTATCCCTCCAGGCTATTCCCTTTGCACAATACAGGCTCTTGAAAGGGTAGCTATCACAGAAATTTCAGCTATTGCTCTTGGGTTATTGCTTCTTACTGCTAATTGAATGTTTGTCTGTGTTTGTTGGTCTCTACCCAGACTGTACTAGGATTAAGGCAGGCTTTAAACATTAAACAAATCAATAATTCAAATGAAGACAATCTTGCCCATGCTCCTTTTTATGTCCTTCTGGATAGTGACACTGGTTGTGTTCAAAATTTTATATCAAGTGACTGTGAGATTTAATATTACAATTCCTAATTACATGGGGCATCAGCAAAGGAATGTATGTTCTCCAAATTACCTTAAACATGGAAGGCGTGCGTAGCAGAACTCCAAGGGCAGAGCATATTGCATGGGATTGAGCGTTCAGCTTCGTTATAGCATATTAATGTTTAAAAACAAGAGGATTAACAGTGCTCCGTAGCACCTTAAAAGTTTCAGCTTCTCCATGAAAACGAAACAGCCAAAATAGCAATAGCAACAAGACTTATATACTGCTTTATATGCTTTAGAGCCCTAAGAGGTTTTACGGTCTCAGCATCTTGCACCCAACAATCTGGGTCCTCATTTGACCGACCTCAGAAGGATGGAAGGCTGAGTCAACCTTGAGCCCATCAGGATAGAACTCCTGGCAGTAAGCAGACCGTCAAGCCCAAAATTGACGTATGTGTACCCATTTTAGTTAGGCAATATTCTTTTTCTTACTTTCTCTGTGGCAGTCATTGGGGAAGGGTTTCGGGCTTGCCGCATACCTAAGGGGGGAGGAGTGGAGATAAAGAGTTGTTTTGGCTAGGTGATCTTTCTTCCCGTGGGAAACAAGCTGTCCATGCTTCGATCCCTTGAGGTGGAGATTTATGACATCAAGCAACACTGAATTACTTCTATTGGAGAAGGTGACTTTTGAGGGTTGTTTCTAACTTGTAATATTGTGGGGTAATTCCGAGTTGGGTCAGATCCGGAATTACCATGGACTTTGCCAATTTGATGCTTTCCAAAATAAAAGAAATCTTTTTTTGAAGATGGACTTTGTACTTTTCTTTTTAAATGGATTTCATCACTTGGAAACCTGACACAGAATCACCCTGCAAATATTGCATCCTACCATTGCACCAGCACGACTCTTAATAAATAAAAGGAAACAAGGTAAAAATTGAATAATAAGTCCCAAGCAAGTTTATTTGGCTCCAGCTACTCTGCAAATGCAAGCAAGCCATTATTTTCCATTTTTCCACCCATAATATGGAAGTAATAATACCAGGCTCCACAAAATTGTTCCCAACCATTGCAAGATGCATGAAAAGTTGGGTAGGCCTCTTGATGCATCTTTTGTATCGGTCAGAATCATTCCTCCATCTGATTCCAATCTAAACATGGCTGGCTCTGGCTTGAGTTACATCTGAATAAGGCTCACCTGCCTAGGACAACAATAAAGCAATAAAAATCATCAGAGGATGTAGGACAGGGGTGTAGGACAGGTAGAGCTTGTGGGTGGAGTCAAGAGAGGAATCAGCCCAGAATCATTATGTTCCCACAAGCGGTCCAGGTCCAGCCTCTTTTGAATTCCATCGACTCTTATCTTCTTTTAATGGTCTCATAATCCCTTGCGGGATGGAGTCTGGGCAACGGAATGAAACTGAGTGTTTACTAGCTGGATGCCATTCCTGTTGCCAATGCGGAGTCTTTTTTCAGCAGATACATCCGTTAACTCTTATCTAGCACCAATTTAATGCTGACTGCAAGTTGACGACTCTGTGTATAGGCATGACCAATAAATCACCTTAACTAGAACTTAATGTGTGGTCCTGACTCTTTGCGCTTGACAAGGGGGTCAGTAAGAGTTGCTGGCAAAGTAACCCAACATCAGCAGCTTGACTTCTGGAAAACAGGTGGTTTACAGCTGGCGGTGCCCACCCTGGAAGTCATTTTGTGAGAACACTTATCAAAATGAAGGTTGACTCCCCTGGTATAAAGTGCTGAAAGGTCTCTTTGGACAACACTTCCAAGTGGGGGATAAGATCTCGGAAACACATCTTGACATACTTACAGAGGCCTGGAGTTGAGAACCGGCCCCAATACTTTCAACCATTTCAGCCATTTGATTCATGACAGGTGCTGTGGCCCGCTGGTGGCCAGAAAATAGTGAGGTTGGGAAGGAACCTGGGCCATTCCTGGAGGCTGAGGAAGGCTCGGATGAGGGCTCTGCATCAGAGGCAGAGGTGGGGCCAGGGCAGGCTGGCAGTCATTAGCTGCCTTCAGGCTCAGACAGCATTGAGGAGGAGGAGCTTCTGGAACCTGTTCCCAGCTTGCGCATGAGCAGAGTTGCCAAAAGGAAGGCACAATTAAGAACTCAGGCTCGACATGGGAGGTGGATGATGAAGGGCCACTCCCATCAGGATTAAAAGAGAAGCAAAAGGGGAGGTGGCTTTTGCAGGAAAAAACTTGCTCGTTCCTTCATTCCAGCCTTGTAAGGATTTGTCTGTATAACCCAGCCCTTCCCTGTCAGCAATGAGTATGGAACTATTTACTGGGCAGCATTCCAGGATCGATAAAGGTCTGAGCTAAATTAGTATATCTTCGCAAGACTGTTTGCCAAGCTGTTCGCTGACTGTGAATGAAACAAATTCACATTAATGTAATAAAAGAGGGTTTTTACCGGGGCTCAGAGTTGACTTAGTGCTTTTTGGGGAAGCCTAGGAGAGAACAACAGGTATAATAGCCTCAGATGGTGTTCAAAGATGACAATGGTTCTAAGTGAATAAAAAAATCAACAAGACCATAGATCTCCAGGGTCAGGTAATACATTACATTATATTGATTTGTCAAGACAGCAATACATATTTCATCCTAGTGGACCCATGAGAATCAAGTGCACGGTTTTCCACCGCAGGTACCCCAATCCAAAAAGTAGTGTGTGCAAAACAGTTAAGGATCAACCATTCATAGGATAAAGTCCTTCTGCCAACATAAAGCATGACTTGAACACCCGGTTCTAAAGACCCTCTTCTAATTGCTATGGAAGAAGAAGGTGCCTAGACAGAACACTGAGACACTTTTAGACTCTACCAGACGTTTTCTTGAACTCATCAATATGTCTTTCACTGGGCATGGTTCCTGCCTGTAGCTTCTCCCACCAACGCCATCAACATCAACCTCCACTTGAGTAAGGTGAAGCAAAGCCAAGGTCCCAGAGCTCTTTCTTGGTGCAAATTGAGAGGGGAGCCTTGGTTTCTCCTTTTCTTTCTATCAGAGGAATGAAATTCCATCAAGATCTCTCTTGTTCTAAAATTATTTCTAAGCAGAAAAAGGAAGGAAGGAAGGCAGGAGGGAGGGAGGGAGAGAGAGAGAGAGAGAGCAAGAGAGAGAGAGAGAGAGAGCAAGAGAGAGAGAGAGAAGAGAAAGAAAGAAAGAAAGAAAGAAAGAAAGAAAGAAAGAAAGAAAGAAAGAAAGAAAGAAAGAAAGAAAGAAAGAAAGAAAGAAAGAAAGAAAGTCAGTCCAAGAGAAGAGCCAGCTGACTCCTTCAGCACTTTGGCTTGGCCGGCAAATGATCTAACCTGGTCAACACATTCTTCATGACCCCATGCCTATTCCCTTGGGTTGCCTAGGAAAGGTGACAAGGCCCTTCGACACCTCAAGCCCAGACACCTAGCTCTAGATTTCATAGGTGGGGAGGTGTGCTTCTTGTTTTGTCTCCAGGTCCCGGGAAATTCGCGCTAGGATTGGCCGGGAGGAACCCAGCCCCCGAAGGCCTTCTCCAAGTATTTCGCCATGGCCAAGGTCAAGTGGTCATTATGAGGTCCTGCCACCACCTGGATCCCTAATGGGAGTCCATCCTTGCTCAAGCCAAGAGGACACTGCGTCACTGGTAAGCCCAGAATGTTGAAGATGGCTGAAAAGAAAAAGAAAAAAAGACAACAGAGAGGTCAAAGGTAGGGAAGGCTTTTCTGTAAAACCAGAATAAAGCACTTAAAGAGGAATCTTTTGGAGCAATTGCAGCTTCCAAAGGGATTCCAAAAAGATTCTCTGGGATTATGACATCAGGTAAAAGGTAAAGGTTCCCTTGCATATACGTGCTAGTCGTTTCCAGCTCTAGGGGGCGGTGCTCATCTCCATTACAAAGCCATCTCTGCATTGGATGCAAGACCCCCGTCCGAGCTCTCCCCACACTCCTGGACTGGCCCATGTTCCTCCCCACAGACTCTACTGCCATGTCCGCAGGCTGCCAGCGGATCACAACAAAGAGTAAAGGGAAAGGTTCTCCTCGCACATCTGTGCTAGTGGTTTCTGGCTCTAGGGGGCGCTGCTCATCTCTGTTACAAAGCCGAAGAGCCAGCCCTGTCCAAAGATTAGAGATGGGATTGATAGGAGGCTGTGTTAAAATACCCCCCTTATAACCCCATCGGTTGCTAGATTCTAACTAGGAAGATAGTTAACCCTTAAAAGCAGCCACTTCCTTTCGCAAGGTTCTGCACAGCCTTTAAAACAAGCAGCTGCTTCGATAAGCCAACTTCTCAAAGCGGTATCCTTTAAGCTCAGCAGAAGCTCGAAGCAGGACCCAGCTGCTTCTATGAGCAACAGAGAGATGCTTATGAAAACCCTTCTTCCACATGTCTGGAGCAACCACGACTCCCACACCCTTGTCCGTTCAGGTATGACTACGTCAAAATGTCTACTGCAGCAAACGTTCCTTGCTTCTGCCAATCATTTACACTCAATTTCCCAATGGTAGCACGTTGAGACTTCAATGCCTTCAGAGCAAGAAACTGTCAACTGCAGCATCCACAAATAGCGTCGCATCAATCGCAGCAATTCAAACAAGGACGGGAGCTTCTTACCTGTATAGGCAAAATTGAAGGGCATGCCCAGAGGCGCGTGATGCTTGGGAGCTACTACAGGGTGTGAAGGGTATAACAAGACACCGTTTTCTCCTAATAATTCCACCACCTCGGCCTGAAGGCTCTGTGCCATGCTGGCTAGCTTGGCGTTTGCCTTGGAATTGTATTTCGTCACCTTCTCTGTTATTCCTAAGGCTGGGGGAAAAAAACAGGTTGGGATAGAAGTCCAATGCACAACAAAAAGAGATTCGTTCCACATGTTTAAATAGATTGTGCTACGCCATGCATTGTGGGTGTTAGATACGTGGCTTTCTTGATTTTGGGGGAGGTGCAGGTCCCCCTGGGAATTTCACCAGACCAGGGGTCTCCAACCTTGTCAACTTTAAAACTTGTGGACTTCAACTCCTCTCCATAGCTGGCTGAGGAATTCCAGGAGCTGAAGTTCACAAGTCTTAAAAGTTCTTAATGTTAGAGACCCCTGCACTAGACAGATGAGTAGAGTCCCATGATGTAGAGGAGGGGTCTTCAAACTTCAAACTTGACAGCTTTAAGACTTGTGGACTTCAACTCCCAGAATTCCTCCTCCAGTCATGTTAGCTCAGGAAATCCTGGGAGTTGAAGTCCACAAGTCTTAAAAGTTCTCAATGTTAGAGACCCCGCACCAGACAGATGAGTAGAATCCCATGACGTAGAATCATAGAATTCTAGGCTTAGAAGGGATGTTGGAAGTCTTCTCCTCTAATCAACATCCTACCTAGGGCAAATCCTTAGAGTTTAAAAAATAGAAGCGGCAAAGTACCAATATTAAGAACTGCCCCAGGTCTTGAGTTCTTACCAATGGCTGGAAACGTGTGAGAAGAGAGCCTCATCATCCATTTCACCAGTTCCCATGATGGCCATACTGGTTTTCCATGGTCTCCAAGCAAATCAGTGAAGGTTTGATTTTCCTATGTACAACATGGACAAAGAAGCACAGATGGAGAGATCTCCGGGACATTTCCTTCTTCTGGCTCATCTCTTCATTCTTAGTATTATTTTTATGGAAAAGGGCAGCTGTGGCTGACTTTGCAGAGAACAATTAACTAAAAAATTGCAGAAACCAATCAACAATACCAGAGGTTTAGTATTTTGTGCTTTCCATGCTGAAGCCCATTCTCAGAAAACTCCTCTCTACTGGAATTGTATGCTTTGGCTCTTCAGTGCATAGTACTTATGTGGTGTCTGGCTGGTTGACTGGAGTGTTGATGGCTGGTAATTGGCTGTCTTTTCTTTGTGCTGCCGAGCCTTTGGCTCCTAAGTACCTCATAAGCCCGCGATGGCAAACCTATGGCACGCGTGCCAGAGGTGGCAGGCAGAGCCATTTGTACGGGCACGCGATCCCCAGCCAAACTTACCTGCACTGAGCATCTGTGCACTTCTCCGCTGATTTTCAGCCCGTTTGAGGCCGTTTTTGCCCTCCCGGAGGCTCGAGAAAAGCCTCTGCAGCCTCAGGAGGCCAAAAAACGGGCCTTCTGGAAAGACCGGAAGTGCCGAAACTGGCCCATTTTGAGCCTCCCGAAGCCCCTGAGGCTTCCCTTGAGCCTCTAGGAGGGCAAAAACGACCTCCCCCGAGGTCCTCCGGAGACTGAAAATGGACACCCCCGGTATTTCTGGAAGGCCCATTTTTTTGGCCTCCCGAGGCTGCAGAGGCTTCCCTCGAGCCTCCGCGAGGGTGAAAACAGCCTCAAATGGGCCAAAAATCAGCTGGGAGGCATGCGCATGTGCAGTGCAGGTAAGGGGGCGGGGCAGGGTTGTTGCGCATGCATGTAAAGGGGGGGCAGTGCGCACTGCATTGTGGGTAACGGCACGCGCCGTTTTTGGCACACCACCACAAAATGGTTCGCCATCACTGTCTTAGGCTGATGATAAATCAGCACTCCTTTTTTTAAATACATTTTTTATTTTATTTTATATAAACAATCCATCTTTCATCTAAACGGTGTGTCATCTGAGTACAAAGATCTTGTGCAATAACATTACAATTAATACATATTCCTTACTATCATATCATTTACTCTATTCTTACTTCATACACATGATATATCTAATTATATACACATGATGCATCTAATTATAACAACAATTCTTAGCATATTTAATTTCTTATTCTCATGTTTACTATTTTTCGCTAGTCTTCTTAGATTTTTCTAATTTCCATTTTTATTCTCCGGCCATTGATAAAATGATTCCCATACCATATAATATTCATTTTGTTCCTTTTCTTTCATTCCGAGTGTTAACCTATTCCTTTCTGCACATTCTAATATTTTCCTGATTACATTCTCATTGGGATCTTTTCATTTTTCCAATTTTGTGCAAATACAATTCTAGCTGCAGTCAATACATGAATGATTAAGGATAGCTCTTCCTTACTATGTATTTCGGGTATAAACCCCAACAGAAATATTTCTGGTTTTAAATCAATATGTTGCTGTATCGTCTTTTCCAACCATGTTTTTGTATTTTTGTCCAATATCTTTTAGCTTCTATGCATGACCGCCACTTATGGTAATATGATCCAGGTGTCTGATAACTTTCCCAGAGCCTTGGTGGCGCAGTGGTTAGAGTGCAGTACTGCAAGCTACTCCTACTGCAATTTGGCAGATTGAATCCTACCAGGCTCAAGGATGACTCAGTCTTCCATCCTTCCGAGGTGGGTAAAATGAGGACCCAGATTGTTGGGGGCAAGAGGCTGACTCTGTAAATCGTTTTGAGAAGGCCGTAAAACACTATAAAGCGGTATATAAGTCTAAGTGCTATTGCTATTTAGCAATTAGCACTCCTTTTGACTGATAAGAGGCCCCTTTCCCAGGCTTCAATCGTTTCCCTGGCTATTTTTCTACCTGCTCGGCCAACAATCTCATGTTCTTGCAATCTGGTAGTTAGCTCCCTCCCTCCCTGTCCTACATAGTCACATGGGCAATCCATGCATACCAGATCTTCTCTTGGAGGGCCCAAGGTTGGATGCCCCTGTTTTAGAGGATCTTTCACTTGGGGGTTACTCTTAAGGGGTCTGTGCTCCTCCTATGCTCCACCTATAACTTTGTCCTGGGGGAGGGGCAGTCACTCAGGCAAGCTGGGGGAAGACATTTTGGAAAGACCTTTGCAAAGATTTGCCTTCGACATACCTGATTATTACTGCTCTTGGAAGACATCATAGCTGACCAGATCTGGAAGGAATATTTCATTTTGCGGATGGCCACGTTCTTCACCTCAATCCCCAGGTCCGCCTCTAAGTGTGCCACCACCTTTAGGGTAGCAAAGAGAAAGAGAAAGGGAAAAGAGCCATCAGCTTCCGTCTGAACCTTTTATGGTCGTACGTTGAGGACTTCCTGTACAATGACTTTCCAGCTGTCAACCTAGCTGTCAACCCAGAATTTTGATCCTATGATCATGGGGATGCTGGAAAGGTTGTAAGCATGAAAAAAGGTCATAAGTCGCATTTTTCAGTGCAGTTGTGAGAAGAATAGAATAGAATAGAATAGAATAGAATAGAATAGAATAGAATAGAATAGAATAGAATAGAATAGAATAGAATAGAATAGAAATTTATTACGGTCTTAGACCAGCAATAGACATCACTATTTACAATATAGGGGATAAAAACATCCCTGTTAAGAAAATACATGTTCTCAAACAGTTAGGGTCACTCCCTGGTTTATACAAGTATGTGTGTAAATATCATTTTCCAAAGATAGTTCTATCTCCAAAAATTGGCACAAATTGACAGCTATAATTCTGCAACCAATTTTTTTCCTGTAGACACTTGTGACTTAAACAGTCACGAAATGAACTGGAATAGAGTAGAGTAGAGTAGAGTAGAGTAGAGCAGAGCAGAGTAGAGTAGAGTAGAATAGAATAGAATAGAATAGAATAGAATAGAATAGAATAGAATAGAATAGAATAGAATAGAATAGAATAGAATAGAATAGAATAGAATAGAATAGCTTTATTGCCCAAGTGTGATTGGACATACAAGGAATTTGTCTTGGTGTAAATACTCTCAGTATACATAAAAGAAAAGATACATTCGTTAAGAATCAAGAATCATAACATACACTTAGTGATATTCATAGGGTGCAATCAGCAATCAAATCATACTAGGAAACAGTCAATATAAATCGTAAAGATACAAGCGACAAAGTTACAGTCCTACAATCACAAGTGGGAGGGGATGGGTGATAAGGAGTGATGAGAAGATTAACAGTTATAGTAGTGCAGACTTTGTAATAGTTCAACAGTGTTGAGAGAATTTGTAAGTTGAGGACTAACTGTATTTAAGCTGCTATCTCAGTGATGACGAACCTTTTCGGCACTGAATGTGCCCAAACTAGAACACAAAGTGCGTGCGTGCCGGAGTGCTGGAAACTGAAGACCAGCTGGCCGGTGCACATGCACATGCCAGTCAGCTGGTCTTCACGCATGCCAGAAACCTGAAGGCTAGCTGACCTGCATGCATGCCTACGGAGAGGGTTCGGCGTGCCACCTCTGCATGCCACAGGTTCGCCGTCGTGGTGCTATCTGATTTCTGCAACGGCACTCAAGCTTTGAAGCAACCCAAAACAATGTCTTCTTACTTTCCGATGAGCTTGGAGAATCTCTTTAGCGACTGGTAAGAGGAAAATGGAGCCTCCGTCATGTTCCATGGAATAGAACTTTATATTCTGCAAAGATACTGGGTCATCCAGCTTCAGTCTGAAGAAGGAATAAGATGGAAAAGGCAGCCATGAAGAACAATGGAACCTTATCATGCTTTAGAAGAAGACGCAATTGAAATCGATACATGGGATTTGGTTTAGTCCAGCTCCTTGGTAATACCATCTACTAGATGTTCTGAAACCTGTTGGGTCATCCTTTGAGAAGAAGGTAGTATAGCTTGAGGTGACCACATTTAGCATTAAAGTTTAGGCTGACCATGTGCATGGACAGTCCCATGATCCTCTAAGAAGAGAGTTCTGACCAAGGCTTCAGAGGCCGTAATTAATCATACGCTTAGTCCAAACAACTCTGTTTTTATTTCAATGCTGGGAATTATGTTCATTCCCAGCCTGTAATGAGTCCCAAACAATCTCTCAAGATAAACACCCACCTTTTTCTCCTTTGAATTGCTGCCAACTAGAGTGCCAAATTAACTGTTAAAAAAAACCAACTGAAGTACAAAGTCCACACAGAACTTCAAGGTTTACTCTGAACAGAACGAACGACTTTGCTTCCTGCAAAGGTTTCTCTACCTTTGCCTGCAACCATCATGAATACATGTCTGTGACCAAGCACATGAACGTTGATCACATGATCATTGGTGATAGATCACTTTTCTTGTTGTAACTTCGAACAGTTGCTAAATAAATGGTTGTTAAGCTGAGGACTGCCTCTACTACAAATCAACCAAAGCCACCTACTTGGAAATGTTTGGTCCAGCCATGACTCTCAGCAGGAGTTCCATGTCTTCCGCGTAGCGACACATAGGTCCAGTGCACAGGAAGTTTGTACGATTCCCCACCGCATCAGGAAACTGACCGTCATTGGGCACCACACCTACAAAAACCCACAGAAGCAGAGTTCAGTCCTGCACAACAAGCCACCTTTCTCCTAGTCTGGCATTCACAGTTGCTTCCTTTCCTAGGTTGTCTTCCACTAACAATGGCTTGTTTAGCAACCATTTTCTGAGTAACAACTTAACAGCTGCCTTGCTTAACAACAAAAATTAGGATGGTTGAGCCACAGTTGCACAGTGGTTAGAGTGTAGTACTGCAGGCTATTTCTGCTGACTGCCAGGTGCATGCAATTTGGCAGTTCGAATCCCACCAGGCTCAAGGTTGACTCAGCCTTCCATCCTTCCAAGGTCAGAAAAATGAGGAGCCAAATTGTTGGGGGCAAGAGGCTGACTCTGTAAACTGCTTAGAGAGGGTTGTAAAGCACTGTGAAGTGATATACAAGTCTAAATGCTCTTGCCTATCTAAGCTGTGGTGGCACAGTGGTTAGAATGCAGTATTGCAGGGTAATTCTGCTGACTGCTAGCAGTTCAATCCTCACTGGCTCAAGGTTAATTCAGCCTTCCATCCCTCCACGGTGACTAAAATGAGGACCCAGATTGTTGGGGGCAAGAGGCTGACTCTGTAAACCACTTAGAGAGGGCTGTAAAGCATTGTGAAGTGATATATAAGTCTAAGTGCTATTGCTCAATTGAGGTTTGTAAGTTGAGGACTACCTGTATATTTAGTGAGATGTAATATATAAAATGTAATCATCATCATTTACCAGAGAGGATGCAATTAAAACCATGCATCATATTGATTAGTAAAGCAAAGAAGCAAAAAATGCCCGTGTTATTTTAATATAGCATTAGCTCAACCCTTTAACACTTGATTAATTCTAGACCAAGAGAGAGACGTCTTGCTTCGTCTCATTTTTACAATATAAAGGCATTTCAAAATATGGATAAAGAATTTTTTTAAAAAAAAAAAAAAACTACAGACATTAGGGATGTAAATTTCTTTTCACCTCTTCCCCCACCGCCATCTACATAGGATCATTCCTTTTGTTAATAATAATTTTAATTATTTAATTATTAATATTAATTTTTTAAAAAATTAATAAATAATAACATTCTTAAATGTCATGTTTCAGAGTATAAGTGTGCAATAGTTCTGATTCAAACCAAATGCCTTTTGAGTTGAGTTCATAGCATCTGCTGCAACACCTTAAATGAAATGCAATTGTTTAATCAACGAATCATTAATTAATAATGAATTAAAAGGTGCAACGCCATGCTTTTGTTATTTTTATTTTTATTTTAAATTACCGGGACTTCCTCTTTCTCCTTCTTGTTTGCTATACAAATAAGCATAAAAGGCACATGTTAACCATGTGAAACTTCCTCACAAATCATTCTCATGCTTATTCCAGCAACATTTTTGTCCACACCACTTGGATTTAAGGGACGGATAGAATAACAATTTCATACATCATTTCTTTGTCTGTTTCTAAACCTCAGAGCTATTTTTCTGCAGACTTTCCCTGAATGATTTTGAACTCTCACAAGAATTGCTATTCGCATGTCGCAAGTTCACTGCAGTGTGTCCTTTTTCACACTGTTGTTGTTTTCACAGTGAAAAAGCAACACGTTTTCCCAAACTGCCAAATTAATCTTTTTCCCCAACCATTGGCCTTTGTTGTTTCTCTGTACTGTATCTTTTTACTTCTTTCAGTGCTTTCTTCCTCCATTGCAACTCCTCAGATCAAATGCCATTGTGCAATCTTTGGAAAAGACACAGTGGTGGATAAGTATATACGTATGAGCCAGCAGTGTGCTACAGCTGCCTAAAAAGCCAGTGCAGTCTTTAGGCTGCATCAAAAGAAGGATTAAGCGTTAAGATGATGAGAAGTGATGGTACCACTCCACACTGCACTAGTGAGGTCACACTTTGAATACTGCATCCAATTCTGGTTGCCATGATACAAAAAAGATAAAAAGGTAAAGTTTCCCATTGCACACATGTGCTAGTCGTTTCCGGCTCTAGAGGGCGCTGCTCATCTCCGTTACAAAGCCAAAGAGAGCCAGCGCCGTCCGAAGACGTCTCCGTGGTCAAGTGGCCGGCATGACTAAATGCTGAAGGCGCACATAACGCTGTTCCCTTCCCGCCAAAGAGTCCCTATTTTTCTACTTGCATTTTTTAACGTGGTTTCGAACTGCTAGGTTGGCAGAAGCTGGGACGAATAACAGGAACTTACTCCGTTACACAGCGCTAGGGATTCGAACAGCTGACCTTTCTGATCGACAAGCTCAGCGTCTTAGCCCCTGAGCACCGCGTCCCTAAAATAAAAGATACTCGGGTCTTAAAAACGGTGCAGAGAAGAGCAACAAAAATTAGAAGGGACCTGGTGGCTAAACTGTACAATGACCAATCGTACCAATAGATACGTTTAGCCTAATGAAGAGAAGGCCGAGGGATGACATAGGATAGCCATCTTCCAATACTTGAAGAACTATCATAGAGAAGCTATGACTCCAAAGCACTTGAGGGCAGGAGAGGAAGTAACAAGTGGATGCTTTTTAAAGAGAGATACAATCTAAGTAAGGAGAAATTATCTGACATCAGGAACAATTAATCAATGGAACAATTTGCCTCCCAGGGTTGCGAATGTTCCATCACTGGACGTTTTCAAGAAAAGATTGCATAACCATTAATTCAGGATAACAGAAGGACCCCTGTCCTGTTTTGGGCAGGGGGTTGGAGTAGATGATATCTAGGGTTCCTTCCAACCCTATGATTCCTGTCTATTTTAAGGAGTCCCAGACAGGGGCCATATTCATGCCTTTACCAGTCTCTCTTCAAACATTAAGCACTGCAGAGCCTTACATGACATTTTTGTTATTATTTTTTTCCTTCAATATATTTTTATACTGCCAAGTCTTCTAGGATTCACAGTTATTTAAAATGTATATGAAAACATGTTTTTTCTTTTTCTTTTGTTATTTGACATCATATCTATAAAGTGTTTTTAGGATAGATTTGGTATGATTATATGATTTGTTATAGAATAAACTACCTAAATTATAGCTATCTCATGAAGTATGAATGAATAAAATCATAGTCAAATGATTTTTTAATAGTGATACGAGGATATATAAGTTTGGATTGATAATACGAGTTATTATGTAATGTAACTGTAATTGAGACTACGAAATGAATGCACAAAACTGATGAACCAACCGACACACTGCTTGTATATATGTATGGAAGAGAGCTGATGTTTTTATGTTTTGTTTGTTTTTTTAAAAAAAAACCAATAAAATTGTTTTAAAAAAAATGTATATGAAAACACCCAAATGGTATTTTTTTTAAAAAAAAAATCATTACAATTCCAATCTCTTCTAAACAAACAATTTGATTGTCTTGTGACTGTTTAAAGAAAGGGAAGTCAAAAAAATTCTCCCCTCTATGGCCAACGATCAGTTGTAAGCCAATCAACTTTCAGTTCACCGCAGGAATAATCAGACTGAAGGAATAATCAGACAGAAGGGGAGAAGCATGATTCAATTAGGTAAAGTCAAGGCTCCCCTCGCACCTATGTGCTAGTTGTTTCTGGCTCTAGGGGGCAGTGCTGATCTCCGTTACAAAGCCGAAGAGCCAGCGCTGTCCGAAGACGTCTCCGTGGTCCTGTGGCTGGCATGGACTGAACTAATGTTAGTAATGTTATTAATGTAAAAATATTATTAATTCAAACTTTTTTCTTAGTTTCTTTTTCTCTCCCTTCTTTAATTTATTTTAATCCTTGTAATGTATGCATTGTTTCTTCATTATACAATCTCTGATGCTTTTTTTTATGAGAGCGGGTATGTTATCGTCACATTTTTTAAAGTGAGAAAAACGTTGCTGGCTCTTGTAGAAGACAACACTGGCTGTTCTTTTGAAGGACAGCTGAAGCTCAGATTCTTTGGCCACCTAATGAGAAGAGAGAACTCACTGGAGAAGGCCCTGATGTTGGGAAAGATGGAAGGCCAAAGGAGAAAGAAACGACAGAGGATGAGATGGTTAGATAGTGTCACTGATGCAGTGGACATAATTTGGGCCAACTCTGGGAGGCAATGGAGCACAGGAGGGCCTGGTGTGCTATAGTCCATCGGGTTTCGGAGTTGGACATGACTTAGCAACTGAACAAGAGCCATGAGGGCGCAGTGGTTAGAATGCAGTATTGCAGGCAAACTCTGCCCACAGCCAGGAGTTCGATCCTAACCGGCTCACTATTGACTCAACCTTCTATCCTCTTCCAAGGTCGGTAAAATGAGGACCCATGTTGTCGGAGGCAAGAGGCTGACTCTGTAAATCGCTTAGAGAGGGCTGTAAAGCACTGTGAAGCAGTATATAAGTCTAAGTGCTCTTGCTATTAGGAGCCCTGGTGGCACAGTGGTTAGAATGCAATATTGCAGGCAAACTCTGCCCACTGCCAGCAGTTTGATCCTGACTGGCTCAAGGTAGACTCAAGTCTTCCATCATTCTGAGAGCGATAAAATGACCCAGATTGTTGAGGGCAAGATCACTCTGCTAAACAACTAACTCCCATAACACCATCAAACTATTTAGTAAGACTGTATTACTATTCTTCTTCTCACCCTTCCTATTACCTATCTCCTCCAACTTGTAACTATAACCGTGTTGCTTGTATCTTTACAATTTATATTGTTTTATTTGTTCCTTAGTATGATTTGATTGCTTACCTATGACTATCACTAAGTGTTGTATCTTCTGATTCTTAATTAATGTATTTTATTTTTTCTTTCATATACACCGAGAGCATATGCACCAAAGACGAATTCCTTGTGTGTCCAATCACACTTGGCCAATAAAGAATTCTATTCTATTATATACTATTTGTAAATGGGTCAGAGAATCCTGTAGAGCACTATGGAGTGATATATAAGTCTAAATGCTACTGCTCATCACAAACTTGTCATTAGAACTACTTTTAGGGAGGAATAACTAGTCCAGTGGTGACTAACCTTTTGGGGCTCCTGTGCCATAAATTGTGCGCGCGCTTGCACGCTCACGCTTATGTGCCAGCACCCAGAAGGCAATGCGCGCTCCCCCATATGCCCCTTACGCATGCGCGTGCAATCCCCACCCTCCCATCCCCTGCCGCCCCCTTATCTGCACTGCGCCTCACATCTGTTTTTCAGCCGGTTTGAGGCCTTTTTCAGCCTCCCAGGAGCTCGAGGAAGGCTTCTGCAGGCCGAAAACTAGCCCCGTTTTGTCACTTCCGGTATTGTCGGAAAAACAGGAAGTGATGAAACGGGGCTAGTTTTCGGCCTGCAAAACCTGCAGAAGCCTTCCTCAAGCCTCTGGGAGGCCGAAAAAGGCCTCAAACCTGCCGAAAATCAGCTGTGAGGAGCGCACATGGGCAGTGCGATAAGTTTGCCTGCAGCTTGCGTGCCAGCAACAAATGGTTCGCCATCACGGAACTAGTCAATACCTGTGGTGGGCTTGTGTCCAAAGATCCCATTGAAGAAGGCGGGCATACGGATGCTGCCCCCGATGTCTGAGCCGATACCAACCAAAGAACCAGCAGCTGCTAGGATGCAACCTTCACCTCCTGCGTGAAAACAAACACCAGATTGGCACTCTAAATAAAGACCAGTCAGAGTATGATACAAGTCTGCCACATCTGTTCTGGAAAGAGCAGTTATACTACTCTGGCATTGACAACAACTTCAGAGCCTATGTTAATTTTTTGATTTATCTGCAAAAATATGCATATCCAGGGCCACAGCTGAGTTATAAGCAGGTTTTAAGTGCACCTGGCTGATAAAAAATATTTAGGTCAGTGTTTCTGTTTTATATACACCCACACCCACACCCACAGCCCCCCCACACGCACACACAAAATTTCATTAAAGGAATTTCTAAAAGGATAAAAACAATATATTGGGAAACAACAATAAGTAAGTGAAAAAAGGAGGGGAGGGGAAGGGAAGGGAGGAAGGAACGGTGGAAGGGAAGAGAAGGTGGATAGTATGATAAAGGAAAGGAAGGGCAGGTTACAAATATTTTATTAAAAGCAGTGGCAAGTATATTTATGTTATCCTCTCTGTAAGATTACCACATAAATTTTCTACTTCCCGTTGTTTACTCTTTCTAATCATCAAACCCATCAGCAAAAAGTCGATAAAGGGTTTCCCAATTTAATAAATGTAGTTAATGTCCTTCCCTCAATCAAACAAAACCTTTAGGCCAATGTTTCTCAAACACGATGTGAGAACCCAAAGTCTCAGCCAAAACAAGAGACACTGTGAACAAGCCCAGGATCTATTAACTTTTGTGCAAAAGACAGCATTTAAGTCATCTTCTGGGCAGAGGCACCAAGGCAATTAAACGGACGATTTTACATATTTTTATACACATCAAAACCAACCACCTCCCACCTTCTCTGCTGCCCCATTGGCTAAAATGGTTGAAATTAATATCGGATGATTCTAAGATGACTTTTAAAATTATGCCTGGGTTCACAATCTCGCCATAGTGACATGCTTAACAATTTATCATTTACTTATCATTTGTCCAGCAGTTGCTACATCCTGCTCTGTTTAACACTAACCGGCTTCTCTTCTCAGTCGGCATCACAACTATCCTCAAATAGATTCCTGCTTAAACTTCTGCTAAATGGATTTAATCTCGTCAGCATTTCTGTCTGTGTTAATGTTTCACCGGTTTTTTTTTAAAGGATATATAGAAGAGAAACGTATAGAAGAGAAATACGTTGATCCTTTTACATTTTTCTTTTACAGGAATATTTTTTTTTCTTGTTTACTTTTCACACGTGGCAACTTTTAAGCTATGTGGACTTCCATTCTCAGAATCCATGGCCAGCTGGGGAATTCTAGAAGCTGAAGTCCAACATCTTCAAAGCTGCCAAGTTGGAGAAACCCTGAGTTAGATGGGATAGGGAGAAGCTCTCTTGCCCCATCCACTTAACTGAGTGGGCTCCTGCCATGACTTGTTTTAGCAGGGCAGCTTACCAAATAAACTCCAATGGTGGGTTTCCATAACCCACACTGACAAAACAAATCTGATGATAGTTTAGCATGCTGTGTGAGCCGGGGCTTTCTCAAAATCAGCTCAAGAAGAAACCCTGGGTTTTCTAGCAACTTCAAACTTAATAAGTGTTTTTTTTTCCCAGTGAGACCAGTCTATCAGGGCAATCTAGTCTACCCCGCTATGGGATGAAACATACCGCTTCCGCTTTCGCCTTTCAAGGTAATGGCTCTTCCCTCAAGAGGATAAAAGCCAGGTTTGGAAAAGCGTTCTTTGCAGACAGCAAAGAAGCTCTGAAGTTCAACTGGGGGACATCTTAGTTTGTGTTTGGAGAATATTGTAAAATAGTTCTTATCTCTGGGTTTTTGGCAGCCTTGACAAACAACTTGGCAGGGCTCTTTCTTGTCGGAGCTAATTCGTGGAAAGCAGCCTTCAGAACAGAATTTGATCTTAAACCTTAAAAGGTGGGGGCTGCTGCCTTTGTCTGCGTTTGCTCTTTGGGAGCCTGGTTGGGTCAGAACACCACTGTTCGACTCTGCCGCCGTCTCCGCAGGCTGCCGGCAGACCACAACATGGGGTGACCCATGATCTACTAACCTGAGCTGCCTCCTACAATGCAGTCAAGGTTGTAGGGGTTGTTGGATCGGCCGTAGACAAGGTTGCTTGATTCAAACCACATGCACAGCTCGCTGCAGTTGGTCACTCCCAGGGGAATCGCGCCAGCTTTCTTCAACCGGGATACCACAACAGCGTCCGTGGTGGAGATCAAGTTGCGGCGGTTAACCAATCCAGAGGAATTGGGCATCCCTACCAAGATCCAGAAACAAAGAGTGGAAAGACGTCAGAGTTTCACCTTATCCGAGAATCCACAGGTAAGGAAAGGTGGAAAAAGTACGAACAAGAGGGTTTGTCAGCGTTCCAACTATGAGATTCCAACGTCTCAGTTAAAACAACAGGCAGGAGACACTGCGAACAAGTCCAGGATTTATTGACTTTTGTGCAAAAGATGATGCTTAGTTCTCTTCTGGGCAGAGGCACCAAGGCAATTAAACAGACAATTTTACATATTTTTATACACATCAAGATTCACTACCTCCTACCTTCTCTGCTGCCCCATTGGCTAAAATTGCTGAAATTAGTATCGGATGATTCCAGAATGATTTTTAAAATTATGCACCGCACCAACACTGCACTATACAGTAGAATTCAACAGAGCTACCGTCCTGGGATAGAAACTTTTTTTCAGCCTATTTGTCCTTGTTTTTATTATCCTGTACCATCTGTCAGATGGTAATAGTTCAAAAAAAGGGCTCCCAGGATGAGATGGATCTTTGAGGATGTTTTGAACTTTCTTAAGGCAGTGGGAGCTATAAAACTCTTCCAAAGAGGGGAGAGGGCAACCAATGATCTTCTGGGCAATGACATTAACCCTTTGGAGCGCTGTCCTATCTGCCATTGGCAAAACCAGACAACGGATCCATTTCGGCACTTCTGGAAGGCCCAGTTTTTCGGCCTAGCAAGGCTGCAGAGGCTTCCCTCGAGCCTCCAGGAGAGCGAAAACGGCCTCAAATGGGCCGAAAATCAGCTGGGAGGTGCACGCACACGCAGTGCAGGAAAATTTGGCCAAGGTCCCTTCCAGCTTCTATTCTATTCTATGAATTTGGATGCTGTACAATCATCTAAAATATGAAACTCCTCCCCAAAATTAAGCAAAAACACAAAACAAGCAAGACATTAGAAAAGGTGCATTAAAAAGGAAAATACAAATGCAACAATGTATTAATCAGTATTCAACTAGGGCGAAATACTAGATGTATATGTGCTGTGGTGGCGGTGGTTTTTCTTTTTAACGTACTTCTGAGTCGCTTTTTTTAAAATGTCGTTTTCCTGTAGATAAAAATCTTGCAGACTAGAGCATTTAACTGCAAAATTATTAGATGTATCCTGTGAACTGCTTTTTCTGCATACCCCAAATTCCAAACGTTGTTGTCTCTTTGCTCCCTGGGAAAGTCACACACACACACACACACACACACACACAC